TGTATGTAATTGTTGATCTTAAAAGGATTCCCTTAAGGCTTTCTCGAGAACACTTGGTTTTAAGATACTCCCTCCATCCCCTCTATCTCCCTCTTATTATGTGAAATTATCAGTCCACAGTATTTCACAATAATCCATAAATACATATGCACCACAGATACCGAAGATTCTACTCACATCTCCAAAATCAAGACAGCTAAACTTCATTAATCACTGATTACCTTCTCATAGGTTAAACCAGTGCAAATATCCTTAAGCTCTAAAAATTATGGTACCACTGATACTCATGAATGAGAAAAACACAAAGGTTTGTGGCAGCTGACAAGCAAAAGAGTCCCAAACTCTCAACAACGTACAAAAGACAACGGAACTCTTCCTGAAAAGCTCCAACAGGAACATGATGTAACTTGACCATTTCAAAACTGAAAGCTCAAGGTGACTGTGGCCATTGATAAATCCAAAGAACACATGTCTATCTATCATTTTTGGTATTCTAAACTTCTTTTTAAATCAGAATTTTTTCATACTAAAGTTATATGACTCCACTGCTTTCTGTAGAGTTTCCTTTCCTTTGAGATAAAACATGGATTATTTATAACCTCTTCAAATGTGTGCAGGAACTGCACCATCAAGCATTGGAAGCAGACTCACAAACAAGTTCAGCTGTTCCAGACTTGTGTCCCTTCTTTTTCTGCTTTTGGCATCGTTTGTTCTTTAACACAGTCAAGCAAGAATGTATTACTATTTTTCCATCAGATACTCTGACATTCCTAGCTGGGAATCTCATGCCTTATGTTTCCACTAGAAAATATAACATGTGCCACGTCAACTAGCAAGTTATAAATATTTACAGATTAAATTTAAATATTTGAAATCGCTAAAAGTGTTTTCAGGTTGTTTTGAAAGTAAAGATTTACAGTTGATTTTTTTGATGGAACACACCATAAAGAGGTAACATTATGGATGTTTGGAGCATTGCCATTAAATTTCTGAGTAAATTGCATTGCCAATAATAATTATTAATAGAATTGATTCCCAAATCTTAGTGCATGTGGACACAATTGATCTTAGCTGAAGGTGGCAATTATTTATAATTTCTAAAAAGTATCAAAGTATTGCAGTTCTACTGTCTTGTTCGTTTGAACTACTCAGGCTAAAGGTTATTCCACTCCTCACTAAACAATGAAGAACTTTTGCAAAGTTGGAAGAAATTAGAGAAATCAGAAATACTGAGGTATATGGAAGGATTAAGTTCTCATTCCTTCTCATGTTATAGACTCTTCAAGTAACCACAAAACAGCAAGTAACTTACTCAAAAAGCTTGGTGACCAGTTGGTTTGTTTGGACACAGGTACTGTGTTACCCAACATACCAAATATTGCCAACACCAAAACAGATTAATGGCATTCATGGGATATATCAACACAGTAAAAATTCTTAATTAAAATTAAAAAAGGTGAAGGAATATTTAAAGTTAAACCTTTGCCAATAGTAAGTTAAATATAGAGAAAACCACACCTGAGAAGGGGAATAGTGTACATGTGTGTTTATAGGTGTATGCACACATAATATGCATACACATGCTCAGACACCATCAAAATAGGAGCTTTAGACTGATAATTATAACGATTTCAAAATCTCGTTGAAATTAATATGTATATTGGAGCTTTTAAGAGATTTCACCTCCTTGAGCCTCTGTATTATCCACAAAAATAATAATGACCACTACTTCCTCATGGGACAACTCAGCAGAAATTCAATTAGACCAGTCACTGTTCCATTAACATAAAACTAATGAATTGGGATCTTACAGCCAAATTCCATCACTAACTCTGCTTTTTCAGCAACTTGTCCTGTAAGTGCAGATGCTTAAAGAGGCAAAATGACAAATTACCACCTTGTCCCACTTGCAAACTTTTAGCATTAACATCCATTCTGCCAAGGGAACATTGTTCACAGGGGACTTGCCAGGTATCCTTGCTTCCAACACCAGTTTTGACATCTTTACAGATTTTCAATCCCAGGAACACTAACGAGACTGTTGCAGTCCCAGTCACAAAGAAGGCCAGGACAGTGGCAGTATGTGCTTTGCAACAACTCCACAACCAAATCAAAATCCACGCTAGAAACAGTGGGTAGGAAAGAATCATATAAAGAAATATCTTCATATTATCCTTTTCCCCTTGAAAACTTTTCCTGGATAAATGAGCGCTCTAGACACTTGTAAAGAGTTTCCACACATCCAGAACCCCAGCTGGAATAGTACATGTAAGCTGTAGAGCTGGAACAGCTGGCCAGGATGTGTTCCACATCTTCTTCAGCTGTACCAGGAGGATGCAACGTGTCTGAAGCACAAAGAACCCATCAGATCAGTGCACGTGAACCTAGTCCTGCCCAACTGAGGCACTTTGGAGCCAATACACAGCAAGTTATGGTTTGGTAATTCATCCCCCATTTTGAGCACATTTGGAGCCAGCATCAAAACCACTTAGAAACTACCCATACTACTCAAAAGTCTTTGCCCCTCTACCTCACTGAGACCTCAATTATTTTTTATTTCTTCTCTCCGTGGTCAAGAAAGCAATTTCAGTTTATTTAGTATTTAAATATAAGAACAGTAATAAAAGCAAAGTCACAGGATTATCAAAGTGATGTTTCTAGCAAGGATCTAACAGGAGAAATAGGCCATATGGATGGCCAAGGATATGGCTGTAGGCTCAGGCAGGAACAGGCAAGTGAGAAACCAACATGAAAATGGACAAGTCTGGCGCAAGAGTGAACATCTCATTCTGTTCAGGACCTTGACAGGCAAACGCTGTGCCCACACTGCCTGTCCTTTTGACACCAGCTGGGCAGTGAGTGTGTTCCACTCACTGATCTCAGCACTTCACGTGCCTGCAGGAAATCACATTTCTGACGAGATCCCGGGAGATTTTGATTTCAGTGTTATTTCTATTACATCTTGCAGGTGTAAAAATTTGAAAAGCTCAATTGCAATTTCACTGTCCCTGTCCCGGGATTTTGTGCACGTATGGTCTGGAAAACAAAAGCCCAGCAAACCTCTGCTTCTCAGCAGTGAGGCAACTTTCCAAAAGGTCTGTGCAACAGCTCTGGTTGTATTTTGTCATCTCCTCTCTTGTTTGGTACCACACAACTGCTGTGGTCCTGTTACACAGTATCAGAAAGTTTTTTCTGCAAGAGGTGAACATGTTTTTAGTCTTGGGGGGAGGGGGGAAAGAAGGTATAATCCAAGTTTTCATCAAGATTTTGCCAGCCACAAGTTTCCTCTGATTTCATCTCTCCAGCTCCAAACAGGTCACAAAGCAGAAATATTTCCAGGAAACTGTTACCATTTTGTTTGGGCTGTAAGAAAGAACTGTTCCGTGCTGCTTATAACCAGATTTCTTCACAGGATCAAACCAAATAAACTGCAGTAATATATATAACAAAGCAGCATTGGCCTCTCTGAGAAACACGTTCTTTCAAGGCTTAAAACGTGCAGCAGCTGCTGAGCTGCTCTAGCATGAGCTGCTGCCATGCCTGACCTTGGCAGAGATTAAAGACTGTAAAAGAAACTAAAGTAGATGGTTAAACAGGTTTAGAAATATGAAGAGGTTACGTTGCTTTTTCCACTCCTGAATTTATTCCAGCATTTGAATAGATTAGCATAGACCACAAGCTATTGTGTTGGCCCCTAAGCAGGCAGAAGCTGAGGAAGTAATGTAAATTACCTGCCACTGAAAGGGAAAATTATTTAATGCCTTAAGAACACTCTACATGATTTCAGAACCCACCACTGTCTCTGCTGTATGATAATGAGAGTTCAGCTCCAGGGAGTGGCAGTTTTTTCACAGAAGGTGCTTTATTAAGTTATTGTAGCCCTTCACCTGGGTTTCCTTTATTTTTAGGGATAAAGATTTTTTTTATTTGGGGCAAGGATCATCAGTAATGTTGTTTTGTTCGACGTTATGTAAAATGCATTTGCCATTATCTGTTTTCAATAGGTGAATTCAAAAGGCCAACAGAAGCAAGTGAAGTGTTTTCAGTCTGTTGATCATTTCAAGACAAACTGGAAAACTGCCTGGATTCAACCTGATGGCAGATGTATTTATTCTCTATTTGCTTGTTCCAACACAGCAAAACAGGAGCTGATGTGCTGCTTGCATTTCTGCCTGGGGGACAGAGGCTTTCCATTGTACTTAATGGACCATCTACAAACAGAAAATTAATTTGGCAAGAACTCACTGATGCTGTGGCAGTCAGAGGAGTACAGTCCATTTTGAAAGTAATTAATCCAGCCAACAGAGAAATAAAATATTAGTTGTTTGGAGCATGAGAACTTTGACACAGGGAAAGCAAGAGAAACAAAGCCCTTTGGAAATATCTGAGCTGCAGAGGGACATGTCACATTTTGGAAATGGTGCACACAGCAGAGTAGTTAACATTTCCAGGAATGGAGCAGGGATGAAACATCAGTGAAATAATATGCACCTAAGTCTGTTTAAAGCTGTGTTGTCTAGCAAAGTCCATTCTCTGTAGCTGCCAACACACTTGTGTTCCCTGACAAAAATGAGGGGCATGATTCTTTCAAAAAGACCCAATTGATAAACCACTGTAATCATTTTGCTTTCTCAGGTTCATACCTGGGGATTTCCTTCCTGTTTGTCTGCGGTCACCAAGAGCACAGGGAACCCTCTGATAAAGTGCAGTAGCACATTCCACTTCTCTCTGTATCCATGGCTCCGTGGAACAGATAGATCCTTGATGCCGGGATTTTCAGGCATTTGAAACCCTGGATTCACAGCGCTGCAGAGAATTTCACTGGCAGTTCCTTAGTGAAGGGATGCACACGTTTCCAGCAAAAATGGATTTCAAAGTCAGGTATGAGTCAGACTGATTATACATCCAGGTCTAGAAGTAGAATTTGCTTAAGCAGTGACTGGACACTAACAGATAATGAGGTGAACAGTGGGAATACTGATGGCTTTCTAGTCTATTCAAACAGTGGCATGGTAAAACTTCAGACAAAATTATATTCTACAGAGTTTTCTGTGATGTGTTTCTAAAAAGCCATCTTGAACACAACTATAAAAGTAATTTTACTAAGAGGCAAAAATCAACATACACAAAACTACAGAACACTGAAGTGCAATAGAGAGGAAGAGGTGCATAGATAGATAGCCAGCCATCTGAATTCATCCTGCTTCAATCAGGACCTTCAACTCTGCTCTGAAAAACAAGCACAGAAGATGGGTTTAACATCCAAAAAACCTTAGGGTCATATTTTCTCCCATTTTAGTCGTCAAACACACTCTCAGCAATTCTGTGTGTTGAATCCCTCTACATTGACCCTTTAATTTGGCTGAGAAGGAGGTGAAAACAGCATTTAATGAACCCATGGAAGCAAAGAATAAAAGCAGTTTGGCACCTTGCACATCCCATACTTCAGCTTGAGCAAAGTTCCACCTGAGGGCTAGAAACAAATACAACAGTGAAGCTGTTGGTATTTTTTGGCCTATAACATCTTCACTACTGGGAATGATACATCAGCCACTAAGGTCATAATTTCATTTTATAGAGTCAAGCTTTGATGGCAACCCCATCTATTAATTTCAAATAGAGCAAAAGCAAAACTTGTCATCGAAACCTAAATGGACAACTAACAAAGACACCTTAAAGATTTTTTTTTTTCTCTTAGTGTCATGCAATACTGTAACTTAATATGATCTCTGATCTCTCACAACCAGTGCAAAATAAGAAGCTCTTTAGGAAACAGTTTGATTCCCCAGAGAGACACACTAGCTAAAAATAATCTCTTGGTCGAGCAGAACATGGATTAGCAGCTCAGCTTTTCTTTGCTAGGCTACTACATATACTTTGATGAAAGTAGCAACTTGGAACTTTTAGAATTAATTTATATATATAGACAAGAGCATTTTCCCCTCGAGGTAGATGCAGTGAGACACCATGGATTCATCAAAGGGCACTCTCTCTGTGCTCCTCACTCTATGCACTGTGGCTTTCTCATTACCCTCTGAAGACAGGCATATCTTCCCTCATTAAAAAGTGGCAGAAAATTACAAAATAACAGTCTAACTTCTAATGAACAACTTGCATCCACAGCCAGTTGAAGGAAAGAGATTACAAAGCAACTTTGGGAACAACAGTCACTAAATCAACCTAACATTGATCCCCCCCTTTTTGCAATGAAATTCATCACAATCAGATTTATGGTCACGTAAAAGTCAATCACTTAACAGGATTCTAAAAATCTGCTAAAAGATCACTACTCAGAAGTCAAGATAGAAAAAAATAATCTCTGAACTTCCATCTCATGGATTGGCTAAGGAATTTAAACTGCCTGTGAGGGTGTGAAGCAGCACAGGCACAGATGAACAGATTTGGTTTCCACGGGAGTAGAGGAAAACTCATTTGCAGAGAGTACATTTGTAAAATAAGTACACAGCATGTATCCTAATTGTATAAATCCAAAATAATAGCCAAATGAATGGGAGACAATAGTGCACAGTTTACATGACAGATTTCTTCATCATCCAAGTGCCAAAGCGCCTCAAGAAAACGGTGGTGGCATTAAATAAGGATATATTGCTCTTACTGAGCTGCTAATAAACAGCATGATGAAATGGCAGTTTGTCCAGTTCTGAGACTCACACTTATAAGCCACAATGCTTATAAATGGAAGAAAACCAAAGCATTTCATATATTCTGTGGCTGTCACCTCCAGCAATAAATGAACAAAGGCACTCTGCCTGGAGATGTTCAGTCACGGTTCTCCCTACAGGAGAAATAAAAATATGGTTTTTATATAAATAGGTGTATCGTGAAGTTGTAAGATATCCAAGTTCCAAGACCTGAACTTGAGTGTCAGGGTCTCTTTCGGCAGGATAAGGGAAATGAGAAAATTCTTTAAATTAAATCTTTTCAGGCCATTTTGTACACGAGGTTCTTCTTCTCTTTGGGACAAGAACAAAGGAAAATCTATCACCTTTGACAGGTGATGGCTTGCAGCCACTTGGGATAAAGGGAAAGTCCCTTCTCAAAGAAAAGAAACCATTTTAGGTAAAAATGAATACATTAAAACTTATCTGAAAAGGGTGGGGATTTTGTGCAACTACAAAATGTATGGAATTTAAACCGAAGGTGTCTTTTTCCCTGGAAACTCGGTGTGAGAAAGACCCGAAGCGTTGAATAAATTCTTCCTTGTTTCTTTGTTCCCTGAGTTCATGCCATCTTTCAAAATTTAAAGAGAGGGATATTTCCCACACCTAGACTGAAGGGGAAAGCTTCTGCAGGGACACAGAAATGCACACAGATGTTCAACTAAGAAACATTTTGGGACATGGACCTTAAAACACTAAGGTCCTAATCCTGATAAGTATCTCAGCAGTGCCTGAAGGGTTTGTCTGAGAGCATGATCGAGTTTTGGCAACTAAGCAGTTCTACAGTATGTTGAACAAAAGCTGTGGTAATTATAAGAGGACTGGCAAGGTTGGAGTGAGGAAAGGAAAGGCAAATCCAAGTTTCCTCTTTTATTTTCCTAAGCAGAGTCAAGAACCTAATTTGCTTTTCCTGCTGCTGCAGACAATTGCTGTTTTTTCCTAGTTCATTTTGCACTCCACTCCTAAATAGATTGTTAAAACCCAAAGACAGCAACCAAAAACCATAAACAACAACAACAACAAAGAGCAAACAAAACAAAAAAACCACCAAATCTAAAGCAAAACCAAACCTAAACAAAACATCCACATCACAAGCCAAAAACCCCCTAACTAACCAACACTCAGGCATGTCAGGGAAGTGAGACAGGACACACCTGGGAGCTTCAGTCAAACTAAAGCTTCTCACAAACAAGAGCACTAGAATTATGGAAGCAATTACTACATTCAGTGATAAGTGTTCTACTAATTAGAAATCTTTGTATGAACAAAGGCAGGTGTAGACCTATGTCTTCAACCCAGAAATGTCTAGAAATAGGGTCAAAAAAATCCTAGAGAGAACCAAACTGCCAGAAACTTACCCCACTTCAGCTGTACATATTCCCTAGGGAGATAAAGTTGATTATTAATATTATCTGGACTGAATATAGAGCATAATACAGTGGAGAGGACAGGGTTTATAAATATCTGGGGTTTGTTTCTTTAATTTTTGCCCAGCTTTATTTAAATATTAAACCTCTTGCCAAACAAACATTTTAATAAAAATAGCCTCCTCATTAAATCTTCCTTGTGCATATATTATTTAAAACCCACTCCTCTTTCTACTCAATTATGCAATGACTTATCCATACAAATTCTATCCAAAAACATTGAAGCCTAGTAAAATCTTATTTTGTTAGAAAAATTGGAATTTGAATTTTTTTTTTTTTAAGCTAATAGTTTAATTCTGAAAAGCTTAACTTTCTACAAGCATTTTATGAGGCAAGGAGGGAAGAAATCACCCAAGCGCGGTGCCAAGTGAATTAATATTTTTAATTAAAATTTTATCATCTAAAAAGATTGAGGGCTTATTAATGAATTCAAACATGTTTATAGGATGGATTTTGATTGTGTGTGTATTTGCTTTTTCTCGGCTGATGAGCAAATGAATCTAATATAAAATTAAAGTCTTCATTATTACTGCATTTCTTTCCCTAGTCAGCATTCTGCTTCTCCCTTTCTCCAGGTCAGGGCCAATACCTACTGATAACACAGAAACCCAGACAGTTGCTGGTTTGGGTAAGTGTGGCCACCAGGGAGATCCTGCTCGGGAAATATTTCAGCTTCATGTGTCTCCCTGAACATTATCAGCAACAATATGAGCAGGGGAAAAACTTGGACAGCGGTTTGGACTTTGTTCTTTTGTACAGAGCTTTCAAGACCTTCCCATCTTGGCACTGAATGGAAGCACAACCCCCAAAATACACAGATATGGACAGGGTTTATCTTAAAACAGTAATTTTTTTTCTCTCATTTTTGGATTTAAAGGTCAAGTCATCCAAAAAGCCAAACAAAAATAGAATTTCCAAGGGAAAGGTTCTCTTTCTTTAACCTCTTATGGGGTGGATACGCTATTTTCAAAAGGCAGCTTCACCGTTTCTACTGTTCCATCGTCTCACTGGTAAGGCAGAAATGTGCCAAATCAACACCTGCCAGACATCCTGGTGGTACCACTGAAGGTTCAGATTTCTCACCTCAGAATAAAATAAGAGGTGGCAGTGGGTGCAGAGAGTGAGTTTGCAGACAGAAACACTCTCTGAACCACAGCAAGCACAGACATTTGTTGAAATCTGCTGGAGGCAGGAGACAAACTGTAGAGTTTTTTTAAAGATTGGCATGTGTCAGAGTACATATACATGTAGCAAGAGGTTTTGGTTTTTTCTTCTTCTTGAGCACCCAAGGTACAGCTCATATCTTATCTGACCAGTGAATGAAATGGAGACACTCCTGTCCCAAGCATCCTGACACATAACCTGGGGTGAGTTGCAGAAACATCCTTGCAAACTTTGCACTCCCCGAGGGCTGAGACTGTCCCTACTGCCCTGGAACAACCTTCCCCCCATGAGTTGGCAATAACCTGTACCAGAGAGAGCAGCTCCTTTAGGGCAGGAAGCTCAAACTTCTCAGATTAACCTAAGAAATAAAACTAAAATAGACCCTGGAAAGAAGCACCTTTCGCTTCAATAATAAAAATAGTATTAGATAATCACACTGTATAATGCAAATAAATTCCTAACTTGGTCTGTTCTTTCTGCCAAGAAACTCAGTATACCAAAATTTAGAAGTTATTTCTTGAATTGTACCCAAAAGAGCCATAACAGTGTTTTAAAAGTCCTATCCAAATAATCTCCTGGATATAAACAAAAAGTATTTCAGCAAAAGTATAGGCAATATGTTACAAAACTTTTTTCCATGAGCTTTTGTTCATTGGGCTTTGTTTGGTTGGGTTTTTTTTAACTTACCTCTTCATTTTTTGTTAGAGTTTGAGGAACTTGCTTAAAGAGAAGGATGCAAAGTCTTTGTATTCAGGTCTGTGGCAGGCACTTATAGATTATTCAATTTTTCTCCTTTTAACCAACGTTGCCAAAGAAAAAGTAGTAAACTCAAGATAATGTTTAGGATTTTTTTTTAAAGTAGTATTAACTAATGAACACATATAAACTTGAATATAATTGGCAAGAGCAACTAGGAAGGATGTATTTTCAGTTTCCATCTCTCATGACTTAGAAGCATCCCCAAGAGCAAGCAGAGGCTGTTTTATATCCCAGGTATTTACCCAGATCATTAATAGCATTCTGAAGATCAATACCTGTGAAATCATATAACATTTAATTTCTTACTTAACTTGCCTGAACCAGTGTCACTGCAATAATTCAGATGCACAACAAAGAGGAGAATATAATCTTATCTCTGGCTCCACAGCTCCAGGTAACTAAATTCTGTGCAAAATAAATTCGCTACAGCTGTTTCTACAAGTTCACAATATGCCTGGTGATTGTCTTTTTTTTTTTCCATAACACCAGCATTAAGCATCTGATCTAAATCCCACATAAGTCGATGGAGCTCTTTCTGTTTACATCGATAGATTTGGAGCGAAATTCCATGTCAGGTTCTTGCTGTTATCTCTGCAAACAAGTACAGAGCTTAGGCAGGAAGAAAATAATTTTCTTTCCTCCTGAATTCAGAACAGTGGGCAAACTACAACCATGCTGGTAGATTGTCTTTTTTTTCTTCCAGTTCACTCCAACTTTTGCAGTCCAACAGAAAATCCTCGAGATCGGCGTGAGCGCCGAAACCCCAGAAGAAATCAAAGCAAGGCAGTGAGCTGTCTCTGAACTCAGCTCAGCTACACAGAGCTGAGCAAGGTAAAGCCCTTTAGAACAATATAAACAAGCTAAGTCCAGAGGATAACGTAGGTAAAAAAAAAATAAAAATTATAAAGCAGCCCGACGAGCCCTGTGTTTCCTGAGAGTAACCCACAAAGCAAATGAGAAGTGCTGGTTGGAAATTATCTCTGCCAACACAATTTATATTGACAGAACCCCCAGATCTTGGATTGGGGTTTTTTCTAACATCAGACATTACTAATAATTTCCTATTTAATAGTTTTAGACACACAAAATCCAAGAGCACAGTACCAAAACACATAGATAAGATACACACAAACTCCTCTGACTCCCTCTGAACCATTTAAACAGACTATAAAACTCCCTGTGCTAACGGCAAGTCTACTTTTGTATATATAGAAATCGTATCTCAAACCCCACATTTTTTAAGTTCTTTCATAAAGAGTCCTCAGATAATTGTATATCAAACAATCCTCACACCCAAACCAACCTGGAAATCAGGCCCAGAGCTGGGAAACAGAACAACAGAAAAGGATCAAAAAGGAGAAAAACAAGCAATGAGGGTAACAGGCAGGAGTAAAATATTGGTACAAACCCAACCCACCCCACACCCTCTCTGGGGTATATTTCTTCTTTTATTGACGTATCTTGGTATGATACTACCTTACTTTGCTCTCACTGTTTTATTCCTGCCTTTTCTTTATTCTCTGCCAAGTATTAAATTGTTTCCAAGGAACACAAAGAAACTCTCTCCAAAAATCAAACTTGATGGATGAAAAGGAGAAATGTAATATGATACTGTAAGAGGAGATAAAGTAGGTTTGACAATTTGGGAAACAAAACGTGTAATCAAGAGAAGTGATGCAGAGGCAGAATCTTAGCTGACTTAATAAAAGAATATACCATATTTTAAGAAATCATTTTAGGAGGAAAGCAGCAGGTGGTGTCAAGTAATACCAATTTACTGAGAGCATCCTGTGCTTTTTAATAAGCCAGTGCCTTACCAGCAACAAAATCATTCAGATGAGAACAAATGGTATTGTGGAAAATAAGCCAGACTTGACAGTTTTATATTAAAACAAAAAATAAATAATGCATTAGGAAGAAAAGGAAATTTCCAGGAACTGAGGACATTTGATTAATATATTTTATGGTCCACTTACACCATGGTCAAGTCCACAATATTTTCTGTGAATTTCTGAGATTGCTTTATAGCTTTCTAGTGAGAAGCCCACAGGATTCAGTACAACACCTGCAGAAATTTCCAGAAGATTTTCACAGACAATCTCAAAGTTAGCTAAAAAGTTTGGGTTTAGTCCATTAAAATTTGGGTTTAAGCTAGTTTTAAGCCAGTTTAAAAGACCGTTTAACCACTGGAGGTTGCTTGAATTTGCACTCCCACGTGGAAAGAATTTCATCCTAACACAAATGTCCCTCCCTAGATGAAGCCTAAACCTTCCCATTTCAGTGAAGTGACTTCCAGAATGGTGAGCAGTAACTGGACGACTAGGAATAAAAATGCACAGAGAGGCAAAAAACGCAGCTCAGGTATGGTGTGAAGGTCCAGCTAATCACTTGCTACATGTTCTCAGTTTATGAAGCTGTTTCACCTTTTTTTGCTATGTTACCATAAAAGCTATTGCTTAGACACGTCTGATGTAAGGTAAAAACAGTCAACAATTTTTTGACTAACAATTAAAACGCACAAGATCACTAGCTAAGTTTACCCAATCCATTCCATCCTGCTTAGAAATTAATAAACACACCCAAAAAGGAAACCTCAGCTCCTGCCACTTCCTCCCCCCCTTTGGAACCAGGTGCAGCAGTCAAGAGTGACTTATTATTGATTAATCCTTCAAAACAATTGTCACTGAACAATTTGAGAAAGGTCTAACAGGTAGGAAATATAAATTGCTTACTGAGGTTTTGGAGGGTGTTTGGACCCTTCAAAGCTGTCTGCTGTTACCTGTCACCTAGCACTTGAAAGATCAAAATCATAATGTAATAAATACATTATGCATTTATCTTGCATCTTATGTTTGGGGGTTTTTTTGAGATTAACAGAATGATATGATATGTAATGATTACTGATTGACCCTCTAGGAAGGAAAAAAAAGACCACAGACATGGCCAATGCATCAAGAAAAACATTACTGTGATTTGTATGTGTCCTTCCACTGGCAAAGCACTTGCTGAATAAACAAAGACATAATGTATATTTACTTACTCCTCAAATAAATTAACAGTAAGCACTTCACCAGGCCTTTTAGGTCTTGGCTGGCTCTCCCCTTCAAGATATACTGCTGCACATTAGGATGGACTTGCTGAGTTTTCCAAAGAAGAGGAAAAATTTCTCATTTGTCACCCAAGCTCCCCCCAAAGTACTCACACTGGCTGCTGACTCAAAGGGCAAGTGCAGGTAATTCCTCACACATCACTTGTTCTCACTGTTCATCACCCCCCTCCCAGTTTCCTCAGGGCCTCCAGCCAAAGGTCCAGAGCAGACAGAACTGAAGGAATCAAGGGGTGGCACGTGGTGAACACCAGGGCTCAGCATGAGGGAGAAACATCAGCAGTCAGGGGAAATGCTGACTGCTGAGAGACAGGTGAAACCAGGAAATAAAAACTTGGCAAAGGCATAAAGAACTGTGGGAAATATCCCTCTTTTTAAATTTAGAAAGGGGGCATAAACTTGTGGAACAAAGAAACAAGGAAGAATTTATTCAACACGTTGGGTCTTTCTCGCACCGAGTTTCCAGGGAAAAAGACACTTTAATTCCATATATTTTATAGTTTCACAAAATCCCCACCCTTTTCAGATAAATTTAATATATTCATTTTTGCCTAAAAAGGTTTCTTTTCTCTGAAAAGGGGCTTTCCCTTTCTTTCAATTGGCTGCTGGGCATCCTCTGTCAAAAATGATGGATCTTCCTTTGTTCTCAGCCCAGAGAGAGAAGAAACCCTCGTGTGCAAAAATTCTCGTGTGGTCCCAAAAAATTCTAGTTTTTAGGAACTTTAAGATTTCCCTTATCCAGCCAAAAAAGTCCCTGATACCCAGTCCCAGTCTGGGACTTGAATATCTTACAGCTTCACCATATGCCTATAAAACCCCATATTTTTATTTCTCTTAGAACCATGCAAGGCAGAGGAAAAAAAGGTGCAAGAGGTGATATTTCAGAGGATTTTACTTGAAGTGAGGCAGCAACACAGTTTAGCAGTGCAGAATAAGGATTTGCATACTTCTGGTTTGTTTGGTGTGCGATATTTGACTGCTTTGGAAAGTCATATTAAATATTTTACTCCATTAAAAATCTTAATCTACAATCTCTCCCAAGTCTGGCTTGTGATATGGCTGATGGGAGTTGCCAGCAAGTTAAGTGGCTACATAACTTCACTGCTTCACTTGTGTTCAACAAGTAGCTGCATTCAAAACCTACAAATATTTGTAAATAATATCTTGTAGTTTCAGGACATTTGCTATATGACAATATAAGAAGAAAGGCAGCTTTGTTAATATAACTCTGTCTGATAGAAACCTTTTATGTTAATGGATTCTCTTCAAGTTTCAATAAAATGCTATTCACAGGAAAATCGCTGAAAACATACAACAAGAAATGAGGTAGGAACAGGTCTCTACTGACTGAGGAAATAGCTGTAGCTGAATGATTTTAATTATATGTATTGTTAATTATGTGTATTAACACACAATAATGCAGATGATCACTGTGTAGGAATGAAAAGCACACATATCATCTATTTATTTTAATGATCCAACTCTCATCTATTACTTTTACATGCCCCAAATTCAACACATTTTTCACAGTTCAACAGTGATTCTTAGGAAATTGTTGCTTTAAAAACATTTAAGACTTATCACACGTGATATTTTCCTGTGATGAATCTGAGTCACTTCTCTACGTGTTATCCACATTCTACCAACGGGAAGGAAACTCAAATCTATCAAGTCTCTACTGTATTTCCCTGCAAGGATCTATAACAAAGAAAGTTTTGTTAGAATCACACCATTCAGTAAGTTAATTAATGCAGACTACTGGAAAAGTAAGGGGAGAAGAGCTTGATGAAATGGGGAGTCATAATGATTGTAAAAATATCCTTCTCTCCCATTTAACCACCCTCAAGCCATATTCCCTTCTCTAGGATTGCTCAGAGCACAACCACAGATGCAATGTGGCTTCTGGGTCCCCTCTGCTGCCGTTCTGGACCAGAAAAAAGTGAAGTTCTATGTAACAACATCCAGGGGGAGTGGGATGTGGTGGTGTCCACAGTGCTAATGCCACCACCCTTCCTCACTATCAAGTCAAGATCTGCTGTGCTCTGCTTTATGAAACACTTTAATATTCATTTTGAAACACACAAAAGTTTGGCTTCAACGAGAACTTCTGATATTCCATTATTCATTTTCTAATCTGTTCTGATATTATGTAACACCAAGAAAATCATTAAATTGAAAAAAAAAATAAATAAATGTCTGTTCACATTTTTTGCTCCAAATTGATTCTCTTCAGTAATTTCTAATCTGATGCTTCAGAGGTGAAATGAGCCATATTAAATGTCTATACGTGTCTGGTATAGACAAGATGCCTCCAGAGGCTCAGACAAACAAGCTGAACCCAGTGCACTCACAGCTGGCACAAGTGCTGCATCTTTACTCTGAAGCATGGAGTTTTTTGTCTGAGGAGGAAGAAAAACAAAAGAATTTTTCCAAGAACTAAAACTTCTTGATAGAATACAGACTACCTTTTGCTGAAGGTCAGGGGGTTATATGTTGTTGTTCCCCCACCCCGACCCCAGATTTAAACTCTGTTCTCAAACATATCAATGTTCGAGGATGATATGTACAAAAAAGAGACTGCAAGCATGAATTCCTTCTGATAATTATATAGTACAGCAAAAAACACAGGAGCAATTTGGAAATTCATCAATTTTGTTCTTATTTAACCTAAATATATATTTGTGTGTGTATATACAAATATATATATATGTGTATATACACGAATATATATTTCTGTGTGTGTATACAAATATATGTGTGTATACAAATATATTTGTATACATATATTTGTATATACACAAATATGTATTTGTGCATATAAAAAAATATATATATATAAAAATGGATGATGTAAGAGTCCACACTCACCCACTTGCTCCTTGTGCTAATTGTTAAGCTATTTTCCCAGTAGGATCAGAAAGCACCCAGTGCAAAGAGGGATCATTCTGGACTTGGCACTGTGAAAATCCATTAGCAACAACACATTAGTTGGAAAGCTTTAAAAAGGTTTCAAAAATACTACAAAGCTTCACAAACTCCCAAGTGCACTCTTGGTCACCCTTCTTGATACATGGACATGCCCAACACACAGACTCAAAACACACCTGTGTGGAAATCCCTAAAATATCTGCACCATGTTAAAAGGAAAACAAAGCCCCCACAGATCAGTTCCGTGGACGAGAAACAGCTCCATCAAATTCTGTTTGCTTTTGCATTTGGTCTCATCTCAAAGCTCAGTGGCTTCACTGTGATATATCTGCCTTCTACTAAAGCCCTTTATCTGGGCCCCAACACATCACTAAAGCTCCAGGGGACTGTTTGTTTGTATTGATTTTACTTTGTCAGAGGTTTTTTTTTTTTTCCTTTCTTTTTGCCCTTGCTTAAAAAGAAAAAAAAGAAAAATAATTATTTCTTTCTATACAACAACATGTGTGAGAGTACCAGTTTCAAATGTGATTTTTGAAACTTGTGAATTCCTACCAACCAAGAGTGGCAGCTTGGATGTAAATCTGCTTCCAAGCTGTGTATCAGAGCTGACTCTTCAAGTTGAAATCTGTAAATACAGCTAAAATATACAAGTCAATTACTTTTTTTAGGCAAGTTATCAAGTAGATGTAGAAGTAAAATCAAATCAGATAACCTGCTGCATCTTAATTGCCAGCAATGTTCTCTCTTGCTTATGAGACTCTAAATATTCATTAATTCTGAGCAATTAGCAATAATGAAATGAAAGTCTGTGAAGCTGAAGTTTGGAATTAGGTATGTCAGAACTCAGTAAAAGATGCATGAATTCACTTCTGCACGTTCTCTCTCAAGAACCCTTCACGAGCACCGTGGTGACAAATTATTTACTACAGATGTCTGGGGATCAGGGCACAAAGTCTGAAGAAGCTCCCAAAGCAAATGTTTGTTCTGGACACAGGATGGTGACAGCTCTACATCTCAGTGGGTTCAACTCAAAGTACAAGAACTCAACTCTCCATTCCCAGTGTGCTCAGGGTTGCTAATACACTATGCCAAAAAAAAACCAGTTGAGTCATCTATGCCAAAAAAATAGCTAAAACCAATTATTTAGCCAGGAACCATTTGTTTATATATTCTGTTTAAGCCAAATAAGCCTCTGGATGTTACTTGCATAAATTCCCCATTATTTGGGTCTGTCTGAATTTTAAAGTATAATCAGTCTCTCCTTCAAAAGTATCAATAAATACAAATACAGCCCATGAACAATTTGCTGCACTTTTAGAATAAGGTGTAATCCAGCCTTCCATAAGTATCTGCTATTAAGGCATCAGTGGCATAACAGATTGTGACTCATCAGGTTCATACATTTCCACAACTTGTAGGGCATAAAGTAACAAAACTAGGAAAGGGAAACCAGAACCGAAACACATAATTTGGTGTACAGCACTGACTCTCCTCAACCTGCCTCATACAGAGGAATTTAAGATTCTTTTAGGCAATTTTATCTTTTCTAATAAACTAATGCAACTTCATAAAAGATCTTCATTATTGCCATGACCTAAATTAATGACAACTTAGGTATGTGATTATCCAATTTTACCCCCAGAAGCATATCTCACCTGCAAGAGAACTATTTTTACCAATGTTGATATTAAGAATACAAACATGTGAAAACTCTTGAACTTCTAAATTTCTCTTTGGAATTGGAAACATATAGAGACTACTTATATAATTTAGTGCTACCAATAAGAACACTAATGAGAAGTCCCCCAGGAGATGTTAGGGAATAATTTCAAACACTGAACCCTTTGAATAATCAATTTCTTTTCCTAATCATCAGAGGCATCTCTAATTCTACAGAAAGACTTGTTATGTTACATTCAACTTGGAGCTTAATTAGAAAGTAGGTTACCAAGGGCAAAAGCTTCTGGAGGTATTATAATTTTTCTCTTAACTTTCAGTGATTTGATACAATCTATGATACAGTTTAATCAAGAAACATTGCAAACTGGGAAAAATACTCTTGACAACGGTTTGAACAGACCACCCTCTGATTCAGGCCATTTTTACAGACATAACAAGGTGTCACATCTACCAAGTTTATCACTTAGTGTTCCAAGTAATGGAATTAGATGCCTTCCCATGACCTTCATCTTCTCAATTTCTTAATAAAGGTTTAGGGAACACACCACCTGCTTCCAGGTGACTACAGTTCCTCCACAACCACAAACTTTTGCTGACTGAGCCAGTCACTTGGTGGCTTATCCAGGCAACACACAAAAGCTTCTCCTTGAAGAAGCAAAGGTTTGTTTTGTGTTTTCTATTTCCACATTCCAAGTGAAAATATCTAAGCACAATGCTTTCCTTCTCTGGATATTTTACTACCTTCAGTCTTCGCACCTTAACCCTTTTCAGTTTGTGTAGTTTCTCTGCACTAGTAATTCTATATTTTTCCATAACTTAGAGATAGATAGTTAGATAGACAGACAGATAGACGTATAGCGACATGGTAAAGTAATTTTTTGGTACGGAACACCTGTGGGTCAGGTATTTTCCTAACATGAAAATACAAAATTTGTGCCTGTCTGAGCTGACTCTTTGTCACACTGTATAAAATATCACTGAGGGAAACAGAGTCCTGCATTTTCCTTCTAAATTAAGCTTCTTTAAACAATTTTAAAGTTAAAAAAATACATGATAGCTTCCCCAGGACTAACAGTTCGAACAATACAATTTATGTTTCATTGAGATACTTCAGAAATTAATTCATTGAATCAATTATTGTTTAGATTAAAGCATAAAACATATGGTCCTTAAATGATTCACTGAACTATTCTTCTGGAATTTTGCTTTGGGGGGGGGGGTGGAAATCATATCAGAATTTTAACGAAGATAATTTAGAAAAATGAAATGGAAGCTGGAATTGAGCACTAGCTAAAATGCCAGTAACACAGTGAGCCAAGTCCAATTTAAAACTCACCAATCAAAAGCAAAAACTATAAATTAAGGCATCTCCCTCTCTTCTACCCAACTCCTTTCACTGACATCTGCTAAGGAAAATCAATCCTAGCAGAGAGCAGGATGAAAGAAGTGCTTTTTTGAGTTGGTCAAGAAACTCTTCCATATTTTGTTGTAGAGACTCCTGACCCTACAAACGTGTCCCTGATGCGCTGATGATGAAGGGATGAAAATCCACTGCAGGTTGCACCACCAGCCATTGGTCAGCTGAGCTCCAGACATCAAACACCTTGACTTTTGCTTCTAAAGTTACTTGGCTGTGGAAGTCTAATTTACTCCCCCAAAATTACCAAGATTTGCTGGTCATACAGTCAGCTTCACAGAGGTCACTGTCAGAAGAGCATACAAATAATCACCAGTCTCCTTGACAGAATAGAATAAGAACCCAACTGATTTGTAGGGTATCTGAGCATAATTTTTGTAACCTTTATAAGACAAATTTTACTAGACAAAAATAAGTGGCTCATGGAGGAATGTTTCTCGGGTTTGCTCCAGTTAAGTGGATTATTCTAATCTTTGAGCTAAGTAGAGGTGTACTGTGTTACCACTGCATGGAACTGCCAAAAATCAATTTTTGATCCTCTTGCTTTCCTGAAACTTCACAGGTATTGTTTGGTTTTCTAATTGTTCCACCCTCAGTGTAGTCTGCCACTTAGTCTTTCACATTGTTCTCATTAACTTGTTTTAAGAGCTCCCATTTTCTGCTTAGGTGGAATGTTTTATCAGCTGTGTCTTCATTAACAAGTCATGGGGAGCAGCAGCTGAGCTTTGCCGAGCAAAACTGTGGGTGGTGAGCAGGCCCATGATGTATTTTTTTGAGCTTCTGCTTTGCACTCTTCTCCTCTGGCTGTACACAAACTCTGTCTGTGTAGGTACCAGCTGCTAAACATTGTGAATTAAACCTTGCCCTGCAATTTTTTTCATGAGCTCTGTAGGTAGAAGAGTTTAAGAAAAAGATACAAAGAGGAAAAAGCATCATCAGTTCAGTGCGTGTCCCCTTCGTGTGTTTAATGGTTCAGGCAGTTGGATTACAAATAGCTTGACACACAGAGGCAGCCAAACCAACTTTGAAACCCATTACAAGTCCCTGAAGTCACTGGTTTTTGTATAAATTTCCCCTTCTCTGGTGAGTGTGATGGATTGGTGTGCTGGGCTCTGCACAGCCCCACGTGGCTGCCTGGCAAAAGGGTTAAACAGGTAATGGATGTTACTCATACAGAAAACTTGTAATTCTCAGAGAAAAAATGAAAACCAAAGCAAACTAACTCTGCTCTGCAGGGATGTTTAACTTCTCTTCTCTGGCTGCTTATCCACATCTGAAACAATCCCCTTTTACCTCAGGGCAATGCATTATTGAAGAGAGAGCACGGTGTGGGTTAAAAGCTGTGAGACTGCCTTAGAGGAGGCTGATTGGCTTGAACCTTTTAGAGCCATGAATTTTGGAGACACCACTGGAGATTTACTTCCATTTCAAAGCTCAGCTTAGAAAGAAGACTGTTTCAGTCCTGGGGACATTTAATCTGGGATATTTTGGAGCTTTAGGTAGTTTCTGAATCTGGCAGAAGAGCTGTATGTCCTCCTCCCCACCACATCCCCCCTGGGTGTTTTTTGGGATGAAGATTCACGTGGTTGTCAGTACCTATGCAGTAGACAACACAAACTTCTCATAAAAAAGTTACCTTATAAATGTATCACTAAAAATTCTATAAGAATTAGATATTACTGCCGTATAGGAACACTTCATCTGGCCTAGAAAGCACTCCAGCAATGCCCCACCAGCTGTGATCTCCACCTGGGTGCACCAAACACCAAGTGGGGATCAGTGGTTTTTGTTTGGTCATTGCCAAAAATTTGGCACTAAGGTTTTGGCATTTAAAAGGAACAACGGTTTGGAAAAAGCATTTCATAAGTGGGTTAAGAGCAGACACAATTTTTTTAAGCAGATTAAGAACCAAGTTTGTGCCAATTCAGAGGG